CATTCATTTGTATACAAACACAAAGAAAGGCGCATGGAGGTTGTCATAAATGTAAGGAATAAAAATGATAATATTCTGAAGTGTACTTTGTAAAACAGTTAAATAGCGTAGATTTTAACAGTGAACTGTACATATAGATTATTACTATTTAGATATTAGTGATAGGTAAGTCCAAGCCATCTTTGCAGTCTAGATGTACTCAGGAGCTTGTGTATCTGAAATGCGCATCTATGTCCAAGTCCTATTGTTGCTTAGACTCTTTAGTTATATTGCTAAAACAGGGTCTTGCTTTGTAGCTCAGGCTGGATTGAATTTCACTATGTAGCCCAGGCTGGCCCAGAACTGACAGCCCTTCTGCCCCATCCTCCCAGCTGCTACAATTACAGGCAGGAACCACCCACCACCCGAACCAGTCATCTCTCGTCTGTTGCATTTCCATGTCCAAGTATCCAAATGTCCTTGTTAATGGAGTAGGAAAAATGTTTCTGCTCCCTGCTTTCTTCCAAGGATCATCCCTTAGAGGTTTGGGGTGGGGAGGGGTGTCTTTTCACTGACTGAGTATCACAATCATGTTCTGCTACAGGTTAAGGCCCGCTCACTCTCCTCCCCTACCCTGAAGCCACACAGATTCCTGTCTCCCCTTGCACTATTCTTCGTCACTATTTTCCAGAGCCTGAAGCCTAGCAGCTCCCGGCCTTCCTTCACTCCTGTAGCACTCAGGGATGGCCTGTGCAGTTCAAACATGCTCAGATAGCAAAGATGAGTGAACAAAGACGAGAGACCCGGATTTGTTTAATTTCATTGTGTATGTCTCCCATAGCACCCGACAGATTCCTAATCATATGGTGGATGTTGCAAGTGCTTATTAATTGATTAATTTACAACAGGGGAAGTAAATTATATAAATGAATTATCACTGTGAAGAGCACCAGAGCCTGTACCCAAGCGCTTTAGTTAATTTTAAGATTGTGTTCATTAAACGAGGAATACAAATGAATTACAATGTTGGGAGCATTTACATGATCAATTCTAATAACCATACAATTATAATATTTACCATTTTAGCTAGTTTGTATCCAATGCAATTTCAACCTTAAACATCACACCTTCCTTCCCTTTCATCAGTGTCATACAGATTAAGCAGTTAGTAATACCAAGTAGTGTGAACACCATCTGCCCCTCCCCTTCTCACACGCTTGTCCCGTCTTTACCGGGTGTTCCTCATTAGCACACCAGCTTGCTATGTTTGCATGTACGTGTCTCTTTAAAAACAAAGCCCTCCTGAAGCAACTTCCAAGTTGTCTTCCAGCAGTTGTCAAAGGCAGAGATGCTTACAGGTCACCTGGAAATCCCGTTCAACTTTACATTCTGATTCAGAAGCTATACTCATCCTGATTTAACATGTTTTCCCAAAGCTAGGTGCCATTAAACCACCAACCATCAGCCTGATCTGGTCGTGCTGGGGCCTGAAGCTCAGATCTTTGACATGGGGAATCCACCTGCATGTCCTGACCTTTGGTAGCGGCAGAGCTCAGGCACTGTGACTTTGGCCAGCTTTTGAGGGCAGTTAGAGCCTGTGTGCTGGCTGGCCTGGAGTGGGTAGGCTCTCTACAGTGAAAGAGTGTGCTCTCTGGGGAGTGCTTTGTACCTTCCTGTGACAAGTGAACCTCTCACAAAGATTGTCCTATTCTTTGCATTTGAGACTAATCCCACACCTCAGGTGAAGGGAGTCACATGGGCCAGAAATACCAGGAGGGAATTAAGAGTCATGGCTATTCTCCCAGCCATGCCCAGTGCACTGGGCTTAGGGTGGACTGTGCAACTGTACGGTACGAAGCAGCCCACACAGCCTCCTCCAGCACCCTCTGTCCTGCCCTTGCCTGAGGTACTGACTCCAAGTCAGCTTTCTCCAGCTTCTTTCCAGTGAGACCCCATCCTAGTTCCCTGCCTGTGGGCCTCTTCTGAATGTTCCTTCACCGGCCCTTGAAAGTTCCCGAATGCCTTACTGCCATTCACTGTTGCTGTGATGAAATCATCTGACAAAACAAGCTGGGGGAGGAGTTTGCATTAGATCATAATCCTCAGTGACAGTCTAATGTCACAGAGCAAGCAAGATGGCAGACTTGATGCACCTAGTCACATCCATGGGCAAGGGTAGAGAGAATGAATGCATGCATGCTTCCTCCCCAGCTCACCATTTCCCTTTTGATTCAGGATCAGCTGGCTCTTCCAGCACCAGTTAATGTTATCAAGATAGCACCGCCCCACCCCCACAAGCCAGCCTTGTCTAGTCTCTCACTGAAACTTTTTTCTCAGGTCAAGGTAACAATGAAAACCAAGGATCCCTCTCTTATTCTTAAAGTTCCCAGTGGCCTCAATGTTTCCTTCGAGAGAGACTGTAAATGTTAATCCCTTCTCCAATCCTAGCACCTGCTTATTTTGAAGGTTATTTTTAACTGTATTTACTCCTAGCTGATGTCATCAAGCTTAAGGCTCCACTAAGATGCATGCTTAGCTGGGTGCCGTATGGCACACCTGTAGTCCCAGCACTCAGGGAGGCAAAGGCAAATGGATCTCTGGGAGTTCAAGGCCAGCCTGGTCTACAAAGCTCATCCAGGACTGCTAAGGCTACACAAAGAAACCCTGTCTCAAACAACAAAAACAAAAAGATGCATGCTTACCTCTCTCAAAGCTTAGAACACAAATACTTGAAACAGATTTTCTTGTTCTGTCATGTAATTCCTTCAGCCTCCTACCTTAGTGTGGCAATCTTATTTCTTATTCCTTTCATGAACCCCATAAACAGACCTTCTCTTCTGTCAGTGTTGAGTGGGAACTCTGAAAGTCACTCTGGAAGGAGCTCTTGCCTTGTCAGGAGGACAGCCCCCCCCCCCCCCATATTTCTCTGCACCATTGTAAAGTTTCTACCCGCGCACCCCTGTCGCCTGCCACACAGAAGTCTGCTTCTGTGGCGTCTACTAGCTAGTTCAGTAATCTTAGAGGCTTTTCTTCTTCACGTCTGGGGTGGCCTCTCTTCTGTAGGATAAACTTAGATGCTTTAATATTTGCTTATAGAACCCTGAATAATAAATTAGCATCCAACGCTGTCTACAGTTCCATTCATGTCTGTTTCAACACCTGCTCTGTAGGTCAGCCACCATGTGCTGTTAGGGTTAGGGTTATAACTGTCAGTGTGACACCACCTCTACTACCCAGGGAAAGAGTATCAACTGAGGAATTATTTAGATTGGATCAGCCTGTGACCATGTCTGTGGATACATTATCTAGATTCTTGGCTGCTGTTGAAGGATCTGCCCATGGTGGGCAGCCTCATTCCCTAGGCGAGGCCCTGAACTGTACGAGGAAATCTAAGCAGGCAGGCAGCATAGGTATGTACATTAAGTTCTCCCTACTTTCATCCATGAGTGCCACGTCACTAGCTATTCCTCCCTTGATCTCCCCTCAGCGAGGGAAGAAACCTGGAATTGAAATCTAAACAAGGCCACTCTCCTAGTTGCTCTTTCTCAGACTGTTTGCCACAAAAAACAAAAACAAAGCTGGAGCATTCTCTTTAGAAAAAAGCTAAACATTATCTATACGAAATCTGTACACCAGTACAAAAATATTTATTATAACACAAAATCACAACTAAGTATAAAATTAAGAAAATTGGTGAAACAAAGATGTGAGAGTCTGAAACAAGCTCCTAGCGGCCTCTCTGGAGCCTCCAACTTGAACTCACTGCATCTGGAATAAACCCCTGTGTTTATATTAGACTTTTTAAACATATACCTTCCAGTGGCAAGAGCAGTGTTTACCATCTATCAAAGGTACTGAGTAAGTGTTTTAAATTGAATTATCTTAGTATTGTTTATGCATGAGCACTTAAACAGTTTGTTTCATGGATTAAGATTTTTTTTTTGAGACAGGGTCTCACTGGGGAGCCCCCACTGACCATAAATTTCAGGTCCTTCTGCCTCAGTTTTCTGAGTGGTGGGTTTATAGACACCTGGCCTTGTATGTTCAATTTCTAAAGCCAGTTTAGTATATTAGGACAATTGTTCTTACAGTCATCACTGTCAGTTTCTTGCTATTTGTATTTCCAGTGGTTAACGAATGTGCACTATTGACTGCGTCACTAGCAAACAGTTGCCCTCTGTTACAAGCATCTTCCTTTCCTGCTTTATCACACAAATAAATATTTCTTGATCTGCATCAAAATACACCTAATAATCCATTTATACCTCTTGTGTCTACATTTTTATAGATAAGATGAGAAAAACAAGATTAATTTTGGATTTTTTTAATAAGTAAAATTTTGAAAGATCTGTTTGTCTATTTGTTGCCTTTAAAATATAGGTTTGTCAACATTTATCTCCAGAAAATTAAAATGTCAATATTTTCTATAATGTCAAAAAGAACAAAAAGAAAGAACAAGCATGAAATGTTTTCTCTATATTGAATTTGCCCGTGAGCTATTAAAGAGGTTATTTGAATTCAGACCATAGCACAACATTCAAAAGATTAGCTAATGGCTTAAATCTTTGGTGTTTAGCTCGGTAAAATGAAAGTGAGTTTAGTTAAGCTCTGTCTATGGTAAACCTGAAAGGTTGGCAAGGATTTGCTGTGTTCCAGTCAAGTCTGCAGTGGTGTGTGTGTGTGTGTGTGTGTGTGTGTGTGTGTGTGTGTGTGTGTAGTGTGTTGTATGTGTGTTTCTCCAAGCACAGCCCTCTGAACCATTCGCCCCCAACCCCCATTTTCCTAAATACATCATGAAAAAAGGATGAGGTTTCAGCCTTAATTGCTTGCTCCTTTTATTCGCATTCCTCTCTCAGCCAGGGTTGTGAAGAGTGTTGGTAAAAGGCTACACAATAGAGCTTTTCATTAGGCCCGAGCCAGGCAAACAAAGGCAGGCTTTTGGAAAGAGTGAATGCAGGAGTTTAATTTGCAGGTGGAGAGGAGATAAAAGGTGCTGACGCCTCTATTATTCTCTTACTTAGGTGACCCTTACCCTGTTCAGCTGATCCCAACCACCATGGCAGCTGCTGCTGCAGCGACACCAGGCCTAGGCCCACTCCAGCTGCAGGTAAGTTGGGAGACAATGCAGGGGAGGCAAGGGTTAAGTAAACGCAGAAGGTAGCCATTATCCTGTTAGCGCAAACTCCAATGGAGGACTGAGATTTGGGTCGCATGTTTGCTTTGTTTTTACATTCATTTGTTTTGTTTCTCAACCCAAAGACTATTTTCAATGTTGGCTGTGTGCTCTGAACTAAATATCACTTAGATTTCTGTCGTTGTCTGGTAAGGTTTAACAAAGTGGCTTCAGTTTCCTGGCTTGTTGGCAGGCATCATGGTTTTTTGTCACAGAATGGTCCCCCAAATAATAAACAAACGAACAACCCATCAAAGATACCTAACGACACCTAAAATCCAAGGCAACTGAAACAGAATTTTATGTAAAACCATTGAAGATGCCTGGTGTTATTACAGTATTCACAAAACCTTTGCTTGTTCTCCGTGCTTAGTGGCACAACCTCAGAGCAAGCGAAGAGGAGCCCAAAGCCATTGTGTATCCATCTGACTTGAGTGTATCCTGACACCCTACGGGAGACCTTGTTGCCCCTCAGACTGCATATTTCCAGTCCACTCTGGAAAGTCAATAACCTTACCAGATGTCCAAGCGATTTTAGAAATTATGTCTCTGAGGTTGAAAAGAGAATCAAATGATTGGTAGAGGGAACTTTCCTTATCTCCATCTCTGAATAGGTACCCCATAAAATATCTCATACGCCCCATTATTGTGAGCCTCGGGATTATGTAGCTAATGAGAACAGATGATAAGCTAATACCCCATCCCATCTCTTCCTGGAAAACTGTTTTATAAGCATGGGAAACATGCTTAAACTATGCAAAGCCAGATGTGCGTCAGGCACACTTCATACAGCTGAACTGTGTCCATGGGTGTGTAATTGGTATTAGTCGACTTTTTCATCAGATCCCAAGACCTGGGTACAACTGCTGACTGTATAGATTTGCCAAAGCCTGGAGATTGGCAGGAGGGGGACAGCAGTATGGAAGCGAAAACAGTGTTCTGGAGAGGTTGTAACATTTGTTCATAGTTTATCTTTTCCGTGGAAAACTATACCATGTCTGTTTCTTTGAGCTGGAAATATGTTGAGAAGTATTGTGTGACCGTGCAGACAATAACATTACTGTAACATTTATTATCCTTTCCAGTGGTGTCTGGGGAAGAGCAACAGTGTGGGAAAGGGATTGTAATAGATATGATTCCAGACATGAAGACTTATACTCATTGTCTATATTTGCTATGGGTAAATTATTGTTTCTAACTTTTTCAAAGAATAGCTTACAGTACTTGACACTAAAACCATTTATGCTTGTAGGTAATACAAAATGGTCCTCTATACTAAAGCTAGAAAAAAAGATAAAGAAAAAGAGTGGAAAAAAAACCCAACAGGATTTAAAAGAAAAAGGAAGAGCTGCCTCCAGCAGCAGATTTGAGTGTGGAAACATGTTTTTAAGGCTTAGGACAGAGGTTTCTGTTTTCCAGGAACCACTGGAGGGAGGGGATGACCATGGGGTGAGCATGCCCCTGGAGCCCCACTGGGGGTCTCCACTGCACAGCGGTGCCCAGCAGCTCAGCTGTGTCCAGGGAAGACATATTAGATATTCGACATGAATTAAGTTTTGATTTTTATTCTGATGAGTGTTCAGCATTTCTCAAGATCTGAAGTATGAGTTTCTTTACTGAGAAACAAAGAAAGCCTTTGATCTCAGACAGGTTTGCTCTTTCTGTAAACAATTTAATCTGTAACAGAGCGAAGTTCTTTCATTTCCTTTCCCTTGGTAATGGGGTCTTGCCAAGTTGCTCAGTCTACTCTTGAACGTGTGACCCTCCTACCTCATGGCACTGTCTACTCCTGAGTGTGTCCCCTTCATACCTTGTTCTTAGAAGAGTTACAGGTGTCTGTCTGTCTGTCTTCATACTGCCTTTGAAAGGTTTCCACCTAGGTGGCTTTATCCATTAAAGTTTATAATTTTAGTTAGTGTCTCCAATAACCTTTACTGTAATAGTGTAAGAAAATTGGCCATCGAGACATCCTCATGGAAAGCCATGGCTACTCATAAAATGTAGTTATATTTTGGCAATTATGGGAGGAGGAGCGGTATTCATGCCAAATAACTCCCCAAAGCTTGTCATTTAAGAGTGCCTAAGTTTCTGTTCAGTAGCTTCTGGCATCTTTACTGCAGAGCTTGTGAAGCCCTCGACTTAACTTCAGCCACTTCATATTGACAGACACCTACTCTCTCCTCCTCGCCCCCACGGTAGACCTACCCCGATTGGTCTGAGGAAAGCCATCTACAATGGTCTTCACCCTAACCGCACACCCACCTCCACCGGGAAAATCTATTTCTGAAATGTTCTGTCTTAGGGGGATGTAAACTCAGCTCTGCTGTCTGTCTCTTCATAATGTCCTACATTGACCCCTCTTCCCTCCCAGGGATTAGAATGCATCCTGCTAGATATTTATTCATGTGTCCCGTTCACATCTTACCATCTCCCTGTCTGCTCTTAGGTCAGAAACCCAGTTCTAGACACCAGAAATGAAGGAAGAGGCCACTTACACTTTTCCTTCTTAACCACGCATGACCCCTGGAGAACTTCTGGGTGGCACACTGGAGAAGTGGTTTTCCTGGGTGTTGTTCAGAGTTTCCCAGTTAAGCTGAGGTAGATGGGTTTTATTGGTGAATATGTCCTACCTTCTTTGTGATTGAGACACACACTCCCATTGACAGCAGCCACTTGGGTAACAGAGGCACGTGGATAACAAGAGTCCCTCCTCTTGCTTCCTGCCCCTTGCTTCCTGCCCTTTGCTTCCTGCCCCTGGCTTCCTGCCTTTTACTTCCTGTGCTTTGCTTGGGAATGGAAACATGAGAAACAGTCAAAGGCAAGAATCTCATGATCAATACTTGGAGAACCAATAAAGTCAGATTTTAGGAAAGGGAGCTCATGGTTACAGTGCTACTAGTGCCAATTGCTGGTTTCTTTGTTTCAAAAACATCAGTTCTTTTTTATATGATTGTTTACTTGTTTGCTCTCTGTTACTGTTTGATCTGTTTCTGTTTGTCCTGGGTGAGGAGTGGTGACCCCAAGACAGGAGAAGGGACCCGGAGCTGAGTAAGGAGAAAAAAAGGACAACTGGGGAGTTACTTACATAGCCCTGGCAGACATGCACTGGTCTGAGTCCATGTTTGTTCCTTACTAGAAGAGAAGAGAAATCTTAAAAAAAGAAATACTCCTCCCCTTGGGTTCAAATACAATGGTTTGAATTTAAATAAAATGCCATAACGACTAATGTTGCTAGCTGCTGGTGAGGCCTTGCACACCATCATAGGTAATAATTTCCTTGGACTATCTCATTTAATTATTGTTGCAGCACTGGTATTAGATACTAGTAGCCTTGGACAAGGAAGGAAGCTTGAACACGGAGTATAAAGTGAACAGATTTTAATAATTACCTTTGACTAACTGTGGCTGGGAGATTTTATTTGCAACTCTGGTGTAGCTAGCTTTAGTTACTTTTTGGGTCCTTCTTTCTTCTGCCCTTCTCAACCCCCTTTCCTCCACTCTTTCAACCCACCAACACTAGATAAGAGAGGAGAATGGGTAGAGAGGAAAGGAAAGATATCCATGAATAAAATTAGGGGTCAGAAAGAGGATAACTTTATCCTAAGACTCTTCCTGCTGATTTAGGGGCATCAAGTATTTTGGGGCAAATTTGATCTTCACTGTCAGCGTATCTAATTTCATCTTGTTTCTTCTTCTTTGCACATGACTACTTAACAGACATCAGCCAACAACAACTAACAACCTATCCCGAATGATGAGAAACCACCAACCCCATCTAGTGGGGTTCTAGCATTTATTTACCCTCTGAAATTTTTCCAGAATTCTAAACGTCACATAGTCTCAGAAACTATGTGTAGCTGGCAAAATCCCGCCTCTACTAGAGCATGTGGCAAATCATAGTCGCCAGCTGCAAGCAGCCCCAAATCATGACACCTGGGATTCAAGGGAAAACATAGTCTCATAATATTTTTTGTTTTTAAAGAAACTAAGATTTCAAAATTGTCACTCTGCTCTGGAGTCCTTCTCCTTCAGGGAGTTCTCTAACTCAGTAGCTGGAGAATCAAACTGTAACCATAATGCTGATTGGTTGGCATCAAATACACGTGCCTCCTAGAAGCAAAGTGATCAGTTGGAATGGCAGTGGTAGCTCTCCACTTCAGACTCTGAGCTCCAGGTCACACCCCTTTGCACCAACTCCAGTTCAGATCCTTTTCGGTACTGAGATTTGATGAGGAGCGCTGCAGATCTCTACCCACTTCTGGTTGACTTGATTAACCCGTCATGTTTTCTTTTGAAGTAACCTTGTGCATATGACTGTTCCCACTTGCATAAAAAAAAAACCGAATCTTTATTAAAGTAAAAACAAAAAGATGAGCATAATGACTTTAAAAGATCTATAGAATGACATACCTTAGATAAAACTACTTTTATTTTTACTACTTAATTTTGTGACCCTGGAAATGACTACCATGCATAATAAAAAGTATTTTATATGAAAACAGACCTCATTGTCTATTTTAGGAGTAGTTAAAATATTTCAGACATCACCATATATTTTCATTTCTTGAGATAAATGATTTAAAATCAATTATGAATAAAATAAAATGAGCATGTTATACCAATTACTTTTTAAAAATTTCTTTTTCTGAGGGCAAATCTCTCTTTTGTCTGATGCTTCCTACATATTTTCTAAGATTCTAAGCCACATGACTACCTTCATGTTGGCCATAGAGAGGGAAGATGATATAGATGTTTGTATAGACTATGGTCTCAGCCCCAGATGGATTTCTCCAAGGATTGTCTTCCACCATGTCCAGGTTGCTCTCTCCCTGGCCTCACTGAGTGCTCTCATTCTCTCTCTTCCTCCACTTAGAAGCAAACATGCTCTCCTGAGCTATGTGACCTCTGCCCATTTATCAGTGGCTTGTGTTCCT